GTAGTAAAGGACCAGGAAGAAATCGTGCCCCCGTTCAACGAACCTACCGGCGCTCCAAGTGCTCAAATAAGCGCAGACGAGGAAGCAAGGAACGGCGGAGGTCAACGAATGGCACCGCCCGGTGGGAGGAGGAGGAGGTGAAGGAGGAGGAGGTAAAGGAAGAGGAGGAGGAGGAGGAGGAGTCAGGGAAGGACGGCAATGGACACAGGCTATGCACAGCGTTGCTTAAGAGACTTGCGCAATCGAGGACACTGCATCGCAAACAGCAGGAACAGGGTCCAGTGCGCGCATGATGGAGCTTTGTGGTGTGAAAGGATTGGCTTGTGGCCGTCGTTGTCCTGCATTGGAAGGAATCGTGACATGAGCAAGGGGCAATACGAAGAGCTACTGAATTCCAGTGTGGCCAATGCGAAATCCTGCTCTCTCAAAACCTTGTGCGGCACGTCACATACGGTGCCCGACCAGGAATGAGGCATTCCACCTGTATCCCATGTAATACTGAACAGAGCATGAGGAATTGCCTGGCATGGTATACGCTTTGTTACCATAGTATGTCTCCTCGTTCTGCCTCTCTTTTGTCTCCCTTCTCGTGTTTTACCCCGTCGAGACAAATAGTACACCTCTGCCCCTGCTCGCACGCGCTTTCCCACCGTTCGTGACATGTCATGGTGAAGACTGCTGGTATTCTTACCTCTTCTACGATCTGGCTCGCCGGGTATCGCCCACTTTTTGGGTGCCTCAATGATCGTCGCGTATTCCCCCTCCCCACCCCAATGGCCTCCTGGTGACCATGACAATCTACCCTTGTCGCGTTCCTACCGTCCTTCTTCCACCTGAATGTGCGCACGGTGTCGAGCTGTATGCCCATTCATGCACCCCCTTGCATTTTGGTACAGGCATTGGGGAGTTCGTCCGACTGGACTTGCCACGCTTCCCATGGACCTTGCTCCCTTCTCCCAGCATACATTCGACGCACGGGCATGGGTGGAGAGCATTTTGACACCCGAAAAACGCGACGGTACGTGGGGGACATGGCCGAAGGCCTGCCACAGGTATGGAGAGTAAGCGTAAGGATGGCTTGCATAAATTGACTTGCCCCTTCCGGGCTTCCCTTTTTGTCCGGACAGGGGAGACGCTTGATGCCTATGTGTCCGCCGTGTCCATGCAGTTGCAGCTCCTCGCCCAAGAATTGAACGGGGAGCTCGAACGGGGTGAGACGCGAGGGACTCACGGAGGGATATGTCGAGGCGCATGGAAGTAGGAAGAGAAAAAAAAGAGGGAGGTTGCCAAAGTCAACCTCCATTGCCCCACGCCGACCCCTCCTTCGCGCTTATCACGCCCACGCACACCTTTCCTTGTCCACCCGAAGGCATGATGGAGCTGACAGGATCGCTCCCCCGGGCCATGACCGAGCTCTGTCTTTTGGAAACGTCGGGGAGGTCGTTGGAGCAGGAGCTTGGCCACGTGCTCGCTCAGGTAAAGAGAGGAGGAGGAGGAGGATTAGGCGGAGGATTAGGAGAGGGAGAAGGAGGAGGATAGGGAGGAGAAGAAGGGATATTGGTGGTGTTGATGAGGGAAGGAGGGAAAGAGGGAGGGGAGGGCGAGGAAGAGGAAGGAAGAAAGCAGGAAGGCGAGGAGGAGAGGAGAGGGAGGAAGAGGAAGGAAGGAAGCAGGAAGGCGAGGAGAAGAGGAGAGGGAGGAGGAGGAAGAGGAGGAGGAGGCCGAGGAGGGAGAATAAAGTGGTGTGACCCAGGCAATGGGCCGCCACATGCACGTGAAAGCTAAT